TCAGTGATATCACTGCATTGATGGAGACTACAGAATAATATGTAATGGTGCAATGTGGTGATGGTAAGCTTTGTTACTCAATGTTGTCAGGCACTTTAAGAAAATTAAAAACATTCATGATAGTGCCAGTTTTTCAAGACTCTAAAATTATGTTCAATTATATGTGTATGTAATTATAAACGTGCATCACAGTTGACTTTGAAAAGAATGCAGCGCCTTGCAAGTGCACTATTTGAATAGAGGTAAGGAGAACTACAGTCTAAGGACTGCAAAAGTCTAGATGGAGAAGACAAAAGCAATGACACTTGTTTTCTATATAGAACAAACAAAGAGACAAATGACAACAAAGATGTTCAGAGAAACTTGCAAAATAATCTAGAGTGTAGGGTAAGTTGTATTAAATGATGAAAATTAATATGTAACTGTACAGGTAAACCAAATCATTTGTATCTTACAGTCTTTTTTTTTGGTAGCTAGGGATATTATAAATGGGATAATCACTAACATTCTAAATATAATGTTTTCTAGTAAGTACATTTTCCCTTTTTCTTTTTTTTTTTTAAACAGAGACAAGAGTCTCACTCTGTTGCCTAAGCTGGAGTGCAAGTGGGACCATTATAGCTCCCTGAAGCCTCAACCTCCTGGGCTCAAATGACCCTTTCACCTCAGCCTCCCGAGTAGCTGGGACTATAGGTGCACACCACCACATCCAGCTTATTATTGTACTTTTGGAATCATGATATGTAGCAACCAATCTGGGAATTATTTATTCATAAAAGATAACATTTTCCTGATAACTCCAACCTCAGAAAAAAATGTATTATGCCTGACTCAAATATGTTATTATTTTTATGAAAAAAGAGTCATATTAAAGCAATTATGTCTATACATAAAAATTATCATTATTTGAGATAATTTGCATTGGGGAGAAAAGCAGGCAATTAGAAATTACATATTCAAGGCTGGGTGTGGTGGCTCACACCTGTAATCCCAGCACTTTGGGAGGCAGAGGCAAGCGAATCACCTGAGGTCGGAGTTCGAGACCAGCCTGACCAACATGGAGAAACCCTGTCTCTACTATAAAAAACAAAACAAAACAAAACAAAAAAACCCCCACAAAATTAGCCAGGCATGGTGGCACATGCCTGTAATTCCAGCTACCCGGGAGGCTGAGGCAGGAGAATTGCTTGAACCCAGGAGGCAGAGGTTGCGGTGAGCTGAGATCGTGCCACTGCACTCCAGCCTGGGTGACGAGAACGAGACTCCATGTCAGAAAAAAGGAAAAAAAAAAAAAAAAAAGAAAAAAGAAATTGCATATTCAGGTTCTAGCAAATGCAGTTCTCTAATAAACACTAAATAAATCATAATACAAGTTACAGTTAAACCTAATTGTATTACTATATGGGATGTACCATTTTTGTACCTATATTTTATCTTCCTTTGCTTCTCTGGCCTCTATCGGTAGGCAGCATGGTAGTGAACACTCTAGGGGATCTTTCTGGTTTTAGGTAAACCTGAGTTTTAAATTTGGTTCATATCACCTTTTAACTTCGGGCAGTTTGCTGAGCTTCTTTGTTTTTGGTTTTCATTCATCTGTCATGTCAAGCTGGTAATAATTCCGCCATGATTTTGGTTTGAATATTGAAAGGCATTACATAAGCAAAATTCATCTCATAAATATTAGTTCCCTTTCCACTATGTATCTAATCTCCCTATTAAGCCTAAAAATAATAATTTTTTATTTTGTTTTATTAAGTCTTCAACATTCTACTTATAAAAGGGATTTTTTAAAGGTGTTTTAGATAAAAAATAAGTTTCAACTAACTGATCACGAATATCTCTTCGTATTTATATCATCTACATAAAAACTTACATCAGATATCTTTTAGTCTTTTCTATATTCTTGATTGTCATGTTGTACAGCCAGAAAAAAATGAGTAAAAATTATCTAGATTTTTTAAAGTGTACATTCCAACATAACAAATCTAATTATTTTACCTATTTCTTAGTATTAGGCTGAGGCCAATAAGTCCATGAGCTAAGGTGTTGAAATTTGGTACCAAAAAAGTGATATTTATGAGTCATGTAGATTTATACTGAGAAAACACCATGTCTTCCAATGTGAAATACACTAAAACCTGATCTGTTGTCTCCTAAGGTATGCTAGGTGAATGCAAAAAATGATTAGGAAAGGAGGTGAGGATAGGTCAGGAAAAGTGCAAACTCAATGTTCTATTCATAAATTAGCGATGGCCTATTTAAGTAGTGAAAAATATGGGGGGCTCCATTAACACGAATGAAAAAATTCTTAAAGTAGCCATGAATTATTTTGATACCTTAATTAATGACACCCTTCCTTCTGTACAATTTCATAATGGGGGAATACAGATTAGTGGGGATTGTAGTGGTATACACTGACTTTGCTTCATGATATCTCAAATGTTTAAAACCTATTGTTCCCCAGAGGAAGAAATATGTTCAGCATTAATTGTTGCAGAGGCGGAAGCCAAATATATCTCCTCCTCCATTTATGTGACTAATAATGAAAATCCTAGGTTGATACTCTTTTCTCAATCTTGAAAAGATTCTGCTAAAGCAGCAAATCTTCAAACAAGTTCAAGAGGGTGGGGAGCGTGAACAAGTAGAATAATTTATATTACCCTGGAACAATTCTGAATCCTCTAGGTATGTATGTCACTGTTTCATGTGTGTTCTGGTTTAACTGTCAATATTTATGCATGGCATTAACATGTGTGCATATTTGTAACTCTGTGCAGTGCTCCTGCCAGGTGTGACTGTACAAATCATGTGCGTTGAATGTGCAATTTTTACTTTCTTTTCTAACAATTTAATACAATCAGCATTAGAAATAACGAATGCAGGCTGGGCGCGGTGGCTCAAGCCTGTAATCCCAGCACTTTGGGAGGCCAAGACGGGCGGATCACGAGCTCAGGAGATCGAGACCATCCTGGCTAACATGGTGAAACCCCGTCTCTACTAAAAAAATACAAAAAATTAGCCGGGCGAGGTGGCGGGCGCCTATAGTCCCAGCTACTCAGGAGGCTGAGGCAAGAGAATGGCGTGAACCCGGGAGGCGGAGCTTGCAGTGAGCTGAGATCCGGCCACCGCACTTCAGCCTGGGAGACAGAGCGAGTCTCAAAAAAAAAAAAAAAGAAAAAAAAAATGAAGACAACCAAAGAGCGCCCAGAAAAATATGAATTGGTTTTGACGTGATGAGAAACTGATCAGTAAGTAAATAAACCTCCCTGGAGAAGGCCACTGAAATGCACCCAGCAGAACGTCTCTACTAGAAGGTAATAAAAAATATATAATATAGCCTTTGACCTAAAACCTCGTGATTATTACTTTGTCATTTATTTCCCCCTGGAACATGATATTCATATTAGTTTAATGTACCTTTTCAGAGAATTCAAGACACTTTTTGGGAAATAGAATTTTTTTTTTTTGTTTGGAAATTTATGATTGGAGAGGTACTACACAATTTAGGGGTTACACCTCTTGAGAAATCTGAGTTGAATAAAAAAGAACTAAAAATATAAACATAGCTCATTCAAGAATCAAGATTGGGTGAAACTAAATTAAAAACAGCCGTAAAGTCCCACATTTTTTCCTAATTTATTTACCTATGATATTGGCACATCTTGTTTTACTTAACATTTGTAAAATACAAGTATCTCTTCATATGCAAAAGAGCAAATGTTAAATGAAAAACTGACTTGTATATAGCTTCCTAAATATGAGCCACATGCTTAAGCAGTGAATTAACTTTATGAATCAAATCTTTAATGTTAACTATTACAAAAGCCTGGTATCCAGGTGCAATCTTACCAGAAAAAAAATAGCACCTGCCTTTATTACAATAAAAAAAATGAATGTCTAATTTGCTTTGACATCTTAGGAGTGACATGACACTGCTTTAATAGTCAAGCACTAAATACTTTTTAAATTAATCATAATGTTAAACTTCAGATTTATAGATGCACATATATTTATAGCTTTAGTCATACTGTACAATTTCTTTCTTGTTTAAAAGTACTTTCTCACTCAAAATGGTATTTATAGTTTAAAAAGAATATGCCTCTGTATTCAGGAGTGATTCAGGTTCCCAGATGTTTTCACATAGTTATGAAAATGGGAAAGTGCTGAATTAACCTGGGCTGCAATATTTCAAGCTTTTTGCTATCAGGTTATAAACTATACATACAATTGCAAGTCATACAGTGCCTCTCTTTCTAGAAGGCTTTTTACGTTTCCTGGCTTAGTTATGTCCAAAGGCAGAAGGAAGTACTGCCATTCTCATCCTAGGAGACATTTCCAGTGGTTGAGCACAAGGCCCGTTTGTGGTTTGCTTTTACTCTTGCATTTTGTGGAAGGGAGGGAGCTGAGACAGCTTAGAGAGTTCATTAAAACCACCTCTCACCCTTAGTTGTAGTCAGATGAAGTATTCATAACACTAACCTCCAATTACTACTATGTGTTGGGAAAAATTAGAATTCAGTCTACTTACAATCCTGCCAACTAGGATTTTACTTTGATATTTCAGTATAACAGCGAATCTGGATTGAGTCCTGTTTAAAATTAAATCCCTGATTATTACTTTCTGGATTACGAACTAAAATCCTTGTAAAATCAATGGATGTGGCTCATTGTTAAGAGTTGTGCAGACTTTTACATGTTAGGTAAGAATTCTAAAAAGTATTTGAGGGTTTTATTGTCTAGCACCAGGTACTAATGCCCCCTACTCAAAAAAAATATCATGCTCATGGATTAATCAAGTCTAACAGTGCTCAGATTTAATGGTTTAACATTGATTTTCTTTTCTTTGTCAAATTTATATATGCAAATATTTTTATAGCAGTCAGATATATTTTTGAATAAGGATCACCCTCATTTTTACCCATGTGCTTATCTTTAAAACTAACATTGTAAAGTAGCACACAGACATATGTTTCTTTTGTCTTCATGGATTTTTTACCTTAAAAATAAATTATCACTTCTTTTTAATTTGTTTTTTATTCTCCAGACACTCTGTGCACATGTGGGTAAGCATGTGGGAGTATGTGTGTTTGTGTGTAAGAGGAGATAATTGTCTCTCATCTCTATCTCATACATTAATATCAAGCAAAAAAAATGAAATGTATTAAGGATCACTTTGTAGGATTAGGCATCCTCCTTCTACCTACTTAAACTAGGGGTTTGAAATTCAGAACTTTCCACATAACCAAGACCGAAAGTCACTGGGAGACTTTAAAATTAGTATTTTCACCACCACATCCAGAGTCAGGTATGGAAATAAACCTGTAGCATGGATTCTTTCTATGCATAATCTCAAAATTTACCCAAATAAGTTTTAAAACTAATTTAAAATTTGCCATTGAGGAAAATATCATCTCCATCCTTAATTGTGACTCCTCATTTCAGCTAAAAACTTTTCCAATACTTTAAGAAAACAAAATGAAAAACAAACTGCTAGGGAAAGCAATAAACACTGAAATCAGAGATGTGATTCTTGTTAAATATTAGTTTCTCTTTCTGAGGTTACACTCGGTGGATCTGAAACTTTGACATTAACATCTTCCGAATGTTTAGATTTGCTCAAGCGTTCCGATTCTCTGGTCGTCTTTCTTGCACTTTGCTCCTTCCTTTCCTTTGCAAGCAATCTATAGTTGATAGCATTGCCAATGAGCAGCCACACGCTTGCTGCTACCACAATAGCCCCACAGGCCATGTACATGTATTTATAATCTCCAGTTATATCCACCAATTTACCTAGAAGACAAAGAGCATCTTTTTAAGTTGGCATCATAAAACAGTCACATAATGATAAAAATTTCAAATAAATTATTCTTCAAAGTATATTCCTCTTATTTAAATTAATGTTGAATAAGACTGTAAAAATAAAAAAATCTAGATTATGACTTCTATATATGCTTAGTAAAGGTATGCAGAGACACTCACAGTATTATATTACCAGTACATTAAATTTACTAAACATGATTTCTCCCACTAAGATATACAAACAAGACAAGTTAGGTATATATCTTTTGTTAGGTATATATTAATACATACAAGAGTGAGGTATATTTTTATATCTATACATGTAAATACAGATATCTCTATTTACAGTACACATGTTAGGATTGCTTCACCTTTTCCATGCTTCCTTTTCTCTTCAATAGAGAAAAATTACTTTCTTTAGGAGAAACCTAAAGACTTTTACATGGTTCCTAACAGTGTCTAATATTTACTAAGTGCTTTCTCTATGCCCCATACTAGCCTAAGAATTTTATCTGTAATATCTCACTCGATCCTTACAAGGAGTACTGTGAAGTAATCTGGGCATGGTTACGTAGCTCGTTAGTGGTAGAATCTAGACTCTTAATTGAAGTCTGTCTGGACTTATTCTTAACTACTCTGCAGAATGGCTTCACCTAACCTGTTGGTTAAGTGTAACACTATTTGAGCTAATCCCAGTTTCTTACTTTATCTGAGTCTAAATTATTAAGGGCAAACTAATCAGTAAAAAACTACTTGTTCCATTTGATTATTGAGACCATTTAAAATCTAATCTGGTGCCATTTAATCTAGACGTTTACTGACTTTTAAAATTTTGTCAGCTTATATTTAGTTTTGTCTCTTGCTTATGCAGGCATCTAATTCTTAGTAATTATTAACAGCAAAATTTAGTGTATACAAATCTGTATAAATTAGCATATGCATTCCAAGTGACTCTGATATACAACTTTCAAACCAGTCTGTTTAGTCAGAATCCATAACATTCTCCCTAGAATCTAGTCAGTGGCTCAACATTAAATTTGGCTACTTGCAATATAGTACCTATTTGAACAAAATTTTCTGTTTTAATCAGGTAGATGGTAGAATGGCTTTAAGTAAGCATGATATATTCATAAACATAACAAAAATTGCATAATTTTAATTTTCCTTCCTAACTTGAGTCAAATATTTCTATTTCTACAATGATTGTTATACTTCTAAATATAAAAGCATTAGATCCATGGCCCATCAGAGTGAATACCACTTTGGGCTGCCACATCAGCATACTTTCTAAATGTTTTAAGAATTTTTTAGCATCATCAAGAAACCAGATATGCTTTCCAGAACTAAAGCTTCAATTCTTTCTGAGAGGAGCAGTGAAAGTACAGTCTGAAAAAAAACAAATACGAAATAGAAACCACACACTCCCTACTTTTCATTGCTATGCTGCAACTATGTCAGAAATAACAGCAATAATATTCAATCATTCAAAAATATTAACTCAGTGCCTACTATGGGCCAGGCAGTTCTAGCAATAATCAAATACTATAGAGGGGAAGTCAATCTAAAAGTCAAGAAATATTAAGGGTAGCAGATGGCAGATATGGAATGAAAAAATGGATATACAATGGCTACAGTCTGAGAATTTCAACAATAGGTCTAAAATCAATTACTGCCATTTGCTACCAGTGGCACATGGTTTGGCAATGTTAATGCAATAAGCATTCAAAAATATTGAAACTGTTTTTTCAAAATATTAATGCACATTATCTGCTCAGGTGGGAGTGGCCACATAAGATTCCTTTATTTTAATTCTTAGAGTCTATCCCCACAATGTATTTGGACTTGATTCTTTTTTCATCCCCTCATGCATGGTGACTTCTCTGTTAACACTAACAATTGTGTGGATAATGAATAGGCTCTAAAACTCATTTGATCAAACTAATACTGTATGAAAAGAAGGACCAGTCGTGCTTATCTTATGTAACAAAATGAACTGCCTGATAAATAAGAAGACCTACTGGCTTTCACTCTTTATTGACAATTGTTTTGATGTCATGGTACATTTATATTGAGAGATATACCAACTACCATCAAAAAGTCAATGATGTCATTAAAATTAACAAATTAAACATGAATTTTTACACTTTCAGAATGGTTCCTTGATGTCATGTAAAAAACAGTTTAAAAACTGACTAAATAATGGAAAAATTTACATTTAGCCTGGCAGTGACTCTGACCATGAGAGAGCAGGCCAAGAGTCTAAGTCAAGTATTAACCAAAACAATATACAGTGGTTGCTGGCAAAGGCTGGTGCACAAACAGAACGTAATATTTATAACATTTAAAGTCTAAGACGGAACGAAGTTTTAACTTCAAAATGCTCTTATACATGTCTTTAAACCAGAAGTTCAGAGGGCATAATTTACTCCTTAAAGCATTCCCCACTGTAATTCAGAAGGAAACTATAAAATAACCACAAGCAATTCTAACAAAACTCTAATGCTTCTGTGATGACTATTTTATCTATTTCTCTCTCTCTCTCTCTTAAATATCAGACCAGCTTCTCAATTTGTAAGGGTACTCTTTGGTCATGCCCTAAACATGTACTGCATCTTTTTACTGAATAATTTAGCATAGACACTTTTATTGGCATTTTGAAAATATTTCAGATTTTAAAATCTGAAGGTAATCTTTCCAATTTATAAACATGGAACATAAGTGGCACCCAAAAAACCTCTGAATAAATTTTCAGTCATCCCTGTCTTTCTCTATATGTAATATATACATGAATATATTCCTATCAGTGATATTATAAATGTATTTTCTCAGCATGTAACAAATTTCAAATTAATATATCTAATGTACTCTATTAAAAAATAGATTCTGACCTTTAGAGAGAATATTTTACATTTTTGGCTCATTTCAATATAAACAGTTGAGAAATCTGTTCACCAATGATAAAGATAAAATAGCATTTTTTTCTGATATATTTTTAAGAGACCAAAACAACTGAAGTAGATAAAAATCCTGAAGATTATGATACTAATTATCAGTCTAACATAAGTTCTTAAGTTCATAGGTCCAGGTTCTGAAACAAATTTAGGTCTAAAATTAACTAATTATGAAATTTTTAAGTTTATAGTAAAACCTAAAATTAACCTGCCTATATTCCTTCAGGCTATTAGTATTATAAAACACATTTAAAAATCTGTATATAGCCAGGCCCGGTGGCTCAAGCCTGTAATCCCAGCACTTTGGGAGGCCGAGGTGGGCAGATCACAAGGTCAGGAGATTGAGACCATCCTGGCTAACACG